ATAGTTAAGATTTAAGTTATTTATAAGGTTTATTGTGAAAGGTGGGTAGATGTAGAACTTGTGATTCCATCGACCTGCCTTGGGCCTCCACTCGCAGCAACCTCCTCGTGGTGAGGCCTGGGCAATCGGTATTGTCATCGGTAAAGCACTGTAAACTGAAGATAATATCGAGCTAATGGCTGCGAACTTCGAATCTATTTCATATTCAGTCAAATCATTTGCGTTATTCATTAATCCCGGCACTATCTCCACTCCTATTCCTAATATCAATTAACCAAAAAACTAATAAGAAATAATAAATAATAGCAATATAATTTATTCTAAAACTAAGTTTTGGAAGAAGTTCTGGGATTAGTTTCAATTTTCGACACCGAAGTGGTGGGGGCGCCACTAAATGTCCCATAAATTCCCAAATTTTTCCGGCACTTTTCTGAATCCAAGATAGCGGAAAATCTGCAATTTGTGACGCCCTAGTGGGGCCTAGAGACCCCCACAAACTCGCGGAATTTCCGCCATCTTGGATCAGATTTATGGACATTTAGTGGCACCGCCACCACTTTGGTGGCGGAAATTGGAACTAATCTCAAAACCTTCAAGCAGCGCCATCTATCGGCGTCTTTTGCGAACTATCGAGGAGTTCTGGAATTAGTTCCAGTTTTCGCCACCAACTGGCGGGGGCTCCACAACGTGAAGACTTCTGTTGGGGTTCTGTGGCCCCACCGTTTGCCCGCCATCTTGGATTTAGATTTATGAAGAAAAAGCATTTGGATGATAGGTCTTTTCTATACCTAGTCGGTAAGGATACTAAAAGGGAAATGGGGTGACGTAACCCCAGGAAAGTGGGCCGCAAAAAAACATTGGATGAAATGTCTACTGTCTCCTCTACCTCGTCTGTGTGTGTACATATGTACATATATATGTTGCATGTATGCTCTGCATCATATTTTGTTTGTGACCCTTTCCTAGATGTATCCTCAGAATAAATCATTCGTCGGTAAAGAAGTTTGTATCATTCAAAAGTCTCAATACATACATACATATGTCTTTAGGCAAATATTTTACGCTTTCTACCGTGATATGGCAGTAGCATGCATAATCGCTCACAGATTCGTAGTCTCCGGATTTCACTCATTTATAGCATTTGTGAATATACATATTTATACGACACAATTAAATAAGCAGTTTCGCGGAAGTTTGTTTTTATAGTGTTGTTATCATTTATTAATAAAATAAATAAATTTCGTTTTATAGTTTTTGCTTTCATAAATTAATCTATAAAAATTTGAATTTGTTCACAATTGTATTTGTAGGTATATCAGTAGTCTAGTGTTGTAACTTATAACTCTGTTTCCTCTGATATTTGTTCTTTGTTATTTCAATATAATGTTCGTCTCCTTATTTGATCTCACTGTTTAACTGTCCTTAGCTTTAAATTTATATATTTAGTTTTTGAAGAAACATGTATCTACTATCTATTATGGTTGCGTACTATAACTGGATTAATGTTGAACTTCTTCCATTTGTCATTTGCGATAAGTTATATGGAGTATATAAAATATATATTTGTTTGGAGGGGTCAACAATCAAGCATTTTAAATGGAACGGTTAAAAAATGCCTAGATTAGCGGCATTTCAATGCCGTTTGATTATTTTTTAGGCGAATTCGTGAAAGTGTTCGCTATCGAATTACGTGACGGTTTGTTTGAGCGTTAATTTAAAGACTAGTTTAGGGTGATAATTTCAATAATATCGCAAATGAAGAGGAATTAGGAAAAAGGTTTAGGAAGGAATTGAAATATTTGACAACACGATGCCTGCAGTATACACGGGCTTGGCAACGAACCCGTTCAACGATCTTCGATGAATAAAAACACTCGATCGAGGTCCTTAGAACGCAAAGGTTTTTCCAGAACAAAATTATACTTGACACGCAATTTATAAAAATTGATTTTTCACATAACACGACTAATTGTAAGTAAGAGGAATAAGTGTATGCAGCGTCGCATCGAAATACACGTAGCGAATGTGTAAGAACGAGGAAAGAAGCAAAGATTTTCGTGAATTCTT